GGGGGGGGCCGCGGGGGGAAGGGGGGAGGTGTTTGTTTTGAGGAGGGGGAGGGAGGGGGTGAATTTTTAAAGGCTGGTTTACCCGTTATACAATCCCAAAAATCGGAGGTGAGTTGGGGCTCTGTTATGCGATTTATATTTGTTAAACAAATATATATATTTGTGCGACTTTATCCTATGTATGCGACTTAGTCATATATCATATAATAAGAAATTTACGTTTATATTAATTAATATTAAGCAGGTTTCATTGAAGACCAGAGAATTCGTTTTATTGACAATGTCCTTATTAGTTTTTTTTCAATAAAACGAATTCTCTGGTCTTCAATGAAACCTGCTTAAAGGAACAAATTTTGCCAACATATACTAATATTCATTAATATATATATAAGCGTATATCTATTATAATATTCTATGATTTATATCATATAATAATAAATATATATCTCATAATATAAATTTTTCCCGTCGTATAGACGCACACGTCAAGATTAACTTTACCAGCGCAGAACTGATGTCGTTATTTCCTTTTGAATATAAGGAATAAACACGATATACGCACTATATATATATATAGTATAAATATATATATTGCAGTGGCTCCTTACCTATTTGCTTTATATGCATAATTGCTAAAAGGTAATCTCAAGATCGTATATTGCTATTTATGCATTATTTTCCTAATGATGTTATTTTGAATATGCCATTGAAATTTTAAAAATGTTGAGCTTCATATACAAATGCATTTGAGGTCTAAGTTCATATTATTTTTATGTTCATACAAATATAATTTTAGAGGTCCTTTGCGGAATTGACCGATTTATGGGCTTATTATTGCATGGTATAAAAACTATTATTGTTAGTTCCATATTAATATTATAATAAATATACTATTAACAGCACTTATAGGCTCATATCAACAATATTCAATGTTCCATATCTATATTCTTGTAATATTAATATAAATATTATTGTAATAATATTACTATCAATATTTTTGTAATAACAACTTCAATGTTATTTAAATATTAATGTCAATATTATTGTAATATTAATATTATTGTAATAATAATTTCAACATTATTGAAATATTAATATTAATATCAATGTCCGGTTGTCAACAGGTCACTGTCAACAACAGAAGTGGGGGCCGAAAGTCTCTCCGGTTTGTTGCAGTTTCTTTTAAAGGTCAATGTTTACCCAACGGATAAAATAAACAGACTGGGTTTAATAAGGAAAAAATGTAAATAAGTAACTTTTTATTATTTTTTTTACAGAAAGTATGTTGCGTACATTTATTAAGCCTAATATGTTCATTTAGTCATGTATTCAAAAATTATTTGTGAAAAAACATAATGTTTGAATAGTTTGTGTGCCCACACAATTGCACAATTCAAGAGCATTATACAAACAGACGCAGTTATAATAATTTTCTTCGGCTGAAGAAAATTTCACAAATTCTAATTTGCGCATAGACGGAAAATGACTTGAGTTCAAAATAAATTAAATAATAATTAACAATGACAATAAGATCCAGAACAATAACATCCATTAAAATACCATCCATAGCAATAACATATCCATGAATATATTATCGATAACAATAACATCTATAATAATAACATCCCTAAAAATATCATCCCTAACAATACAATTGATAACAATAACATAAATAATAACATAACTGAAATGGGAGTTTGTGCGAGGGATTGCAGGGAATTAAAAATTGCTTGACTGCACGAAGGTTGAAATGTGAGGGATAATGGATTGCAAATAATGAGGGATTGTGAGATTGCAGCTAACGCGAGATAGCAAAAGATTGTGAGATTGCAAGGTTTCCATCAGCAATCATGCTGTTAAGGCATTTGGACCATTTCCAGTTAAATTTAAGGCACAAAAATCAAATTACTTCGTAATACAACTAGGCTTCTAATTATAAACGTTAATTGATTGAACAATCTCAATTATCACATCGCAAGTTAACGATATCATATGTTGAAAATGCTAATATTATTGTGAATAATAATGCATATATTAAGTATCTGGGAACCGTTAAACAGTTTAAAGATAAGTAACAGTTTATAATGATGTACGTGATGATATACATGTTATTGGTAGCATGACATGCATGTTATTATATATTAACGGTCAGCATCATTGGCCCGGACAGCGGTCAGCATTATTGGCCCGGACAGCGGTCAGCATTATTGGCCCGGACAGCGGTCAGCATTATTGGCCCGGACAGCGGTCAGCATTATTGGCCCGGCCAGCGGTCAGCATTATTGGCCCGGACAGCGGTCAGCGTGCCCGGCTGTGAATGTAAATACACCGCGACACGCGCCTGTTTTGTGTGGTCTGTGTGGACATTGTATATTGCGGCTGCTGCGTGGAGAGTGTGTATTTTGTGGGCACTAAGTAGACACGGTGTGTCGTGGCTACTGTGTAGACTTTATATGTCGTGTGTACTGTGTGGAAAGTTTCTAATTTCATTAATCTTCTTTTTTCACAAGTTCATCACGAATTGCAAACAAAAAGAGCGCCTATAAATTCGCCACATTTTCAGTGAAAACATTACGGAGACCAGCTCCATCTTCTGTATAAAAATTAAAAGAATATATAATTATAATCAATCGAGAAAAATCAAACTTAAAACAAATGAATTATAGCTTAATACCGAAAAAAACGGATTAAAAAACTATATATTTACAAATTAAAGTTGACAAAAACTGTAGGCGTCATCAAGGCTCGGTTTCCGTCTAAAAATATGATGGTATTATTCCCTAAATCCTTAATTCAAAACATCCCAAGCGATAGAAGCAACTTGATCAGAATTTAGATCCGCAACAGCTTCTGATTCCTCGAATCAGAAGCTGCCACATCTCTGAATTTTGTAATGGAAGGATCTTGAAATCATCCTTCAACACAGTTGTGTCGCACTGTTTTGTGTGAAGGTACACAGCAGAGTGGGACGGAGGAGCAAGAGGCTGTACGGCACGATAACTCCTGTCGTGTTGCTCAGTCACTTTGATGTAGAAGTTGTGTGACGTCATGCCGAGGTGCGCTGATGCGCATCGAGCACAACTGTATTCATCGATCAGGGAGGACCTCATCCGGGCAGGAACAACATCCTCATACCTGAAGAAGAAACCAATTTTGAAGTTAATTCCAAAGGCAAAACATGTAAATTAACATTCAGAACGTGTTTCAGGAATAATATCTTCAACACACTGGACAGCGTTTAATACGAGCAACCAAATTGTATAGGACAAAGTACAACAAATAGTTTCTTGCTATAGGCTGAGGAGGATATGATGACAACACAAAAATAAGATAAACTGCGAAGAAAATAGGCTACAGATGCGGGGAAAATATGTACCGGCATTTTGATAGAGATAAACTATGTGTATGCTATAGGGTATATGCGGCCAAGGTTGCAATATGTGCAAGCGAGGTTTCCCGGCAATGACGGCCACTGAACACTGACCGCCATTGGACGCGAACACTGAACATTGACCGCCACTTGCTGCGGCCACTGTACACTGACCGACACTGGCCGTGGACACTGAATATTGACCGCCACTGGCCGCGGCCACTGAACACTGACCGCCACCTGCTACGTCCACTGAACACTGACCGCCACTTATGTCGCGGGCACTGTACAGTCGACTGGCTGCTCAGTGAATACGGCTCGCGTGAGTGCATATAGTGTGTAACAAGAACATTTTGTGTAGAGTGAGTAGCATGTAGGGAGTGGAGAAGGAGGGAAGAGAAAAAGGGTAGGATGAGGGGAGGGAGAATGATGGCCGCGTCAGATATCGATTTGAATTTTTTTCAAAATTTGGCGAATTTTTAGGAGAGCGGAGGAAGACTCGAGCCATTGCGAGGCGGCGAAATAAATGACCGGCGCTGCCACAAATGGAAACTCGGACGCACAGCATCCCTCATTGGGGTGAGGGAAACCCGCTAGATGTGCCAATAATGGGGTGAAGGAAACCCGCTAGATGTGGCAATACTGGGATGAGGGAAACCCCTTAGATGTGGCAATACTGGGATGAGAGAAACCAGCTAGATGTGGCAATACTGGGATGAGGGAAACCCGCTAGATGTGCCAATAATGGGGTGGAGGAACCCGCTAGATGTGGCAAAACTGGGATGAGGGAAACCCGCTAAATGTGGCAATACTGGGGTGAGGGAAACCCGGTAGATATGTGGCACTACTGGGACGAGGGAAACCCGTTAGATGTGGCAATAATGGGACGAGGGAAACCCGCTAGATGTAGCAATAATGGGATGAGGGAAATCCGCTAGATGTGGCAATACTAGGGTGAGGGAAACCCGCTAGATGTGCAAATAATGGGGTGAAGGAAACCCACTAGATGTGACAATACGGGAACGAGTGAAACCTGCTAGATGTGGCAATACTTTAGCGAGGGAAACCCGCCAGATGTGACAAAACTAGGACGAGGGAAACCCGCTAGATATGTGGCTATACTGGGATGAGGGAAAACCCAATTTATAGCAATACTATGACGAGGGGGCCCTTGCATGAGTCATCCTGACTCATTTTGGCACGACACAAGGGCGTATCAGTGCTACGTCCGTACCCATAACATTTTCTGAGTGATATAGTGAGGGTAAACGTCAATATATAGGCCCTCGCTTCTGTTCCTGTTCATATTTGCAACAGTGAAGATAGCTTATAAACTGCTATTAATTAACTATTACATCTTGTATACTTCTATTCCACTAATTAAATTAATCTCTTTATAGTTATGCTCAGGTGCGAACTTTTAATTAACATTTATTAATTAACTATAATTAAATGGGAATGATTACTCTTATTCTTACCAATATTAATGATCAAACATAATATTATGTATGAATAGTAAATAGCCATTGAGGCGTGTGATTGGCTAGCTAGCCAAGGTGAATAGCGGGTCTGTGATTGGCTGACTGGCCAGTGGTCAGCCTGACAGTGATTGGCTGACTGACCATCGGTCATTGTGTAGGCCGTGAAAATTTTTAGACCAATCATAGGATTAATCCTGCACTAGTGGTGATTGTTGGTGACTGGTGGTGATTGTTGGTGACTGTTATTGACTGGTGATGATTATTGGTGACTGGCAGTGACTGGTGGTGATTGCCAGTGACTGGTGGTGATTGGTGGTTATAGGTGGTAGTCGTTAGGGACTGGTGGTGATTGTTGGTGACTGGCGGTGACTGGTGGTGATTGCTGATGACTGGTGGTGACTACTGGTGACTGTTGGTGACTGTTGGTGATTGCTGGTAATTGCTGGTGACTGTTGTGCTCTGTTGTTGGTGAGTTGTCACGCGCAATGCAGCGACATGCCAGCAATTATTTCCCACTGAAATGAACCTAAATTCACTCTGTGTTTCCACTCACCCCTCCTTCTCTCTTTTCCCTTTTCCTCCTTTTCTCCCTCTTAATCACACCCTCATACCCCCTTCTCCATCCATCCCCCCACGTTTGACCCCCCTTCCCCCCGCGGGGGAGGTGTGGACAGCGGGGGTTCATTTGGCGAGGCTAACACCTCATTATTGATTGCCTTGGGGGAGGGGGGGGGAGCTGTCTCTTATACACATCTAGATGTGTATAAGAGACAGGTATCCAATTTACTTGATTTCGTTCATATGTCAACCCAAATTTTGTTACTCTATGCGTCTTTAACTTGAAAATGAATGTTGTACATTCGAAACGTCG